AACAATCCCCACCAGCTCCCTCCAGGTGGGGAGGGCCTGGGGCTGGGAGGATAGAGAGGGAGGGTGCGGAGAAGGTGGAGGGGGCAAGAAGCAGGAGGGGCCCAAGGCCCAGTGGGTGTTCAGGAAGCAGGGCTGGCACTGGTGTTGCCCCATACAGCTCCATGGAGGGTGTACTGGGTGTGTCTCACACGAGGGGACCCAGGGCAGGCTTGACAATGAACCTCAAGCCCTGGTTCTTCACAACGGTCTGCTGAGTGGACGGAGGCCAGGAGAAGTGAGTGGCCGTATGAGAGTGCTGAATGCATGGCTCCTCCGGGGATGTGTGTGAGTGCATCGGGGCCCCACCTGCACTGGAGCCCCTGTCCCCCACCCCACACAGGAAGCTACAGCTCTTTGTGCTTCTGCTCAGTGCCCCTTAGCTCCTGGACCCTCTGGGGCAGGGTGTGGGTCCAGAACTGGAGCCTGCGGGCCTTCAGGGCCTGGCCCACTGCAGGCTGCAGGTTCAGCTGCAGGTATCGCTCGTCCTGGTCGAACACAGGCCAGTGTGGCAGGCCCTCGCCGTTGGGGTTCCTGCAGATAAGACATCAGGAAGGGGGCACTGTGGTCACTCTGAGCCCTGTCCAGCCCAGCCCTGAGCATCTATCTGGGGTCTGGCCAGGCCACCTTGCAGGCAGGAGGGGGTGAGGAATGGGTTTCCAGAAGCAGCAGTAGAACGAACTCCCCCTAGTGTCAGCCCCACATGGGGACCCAGCACCCTGACCTGGCCTGTCCCTCCCCCACAGGGAGCCTCTGGGCAGAGCAGCTCATGGCCACCCCAGGTCACTGGGAGATGGGAAGAGTGTGCCTGGTCCCCAGGGCCCCTGTGATTGCCAGTGGGTCCTGCAGCTGTTGAGGGCGCTGTCATGTGACTTAGAAGGGAGGGCAGTGGGTCCCAGGTCCCTGTGGTTTGGAGGGGGGGATTGTCTCACCCGTTGCGAGCAAAGTTGGCCCAGTACTTCATCACCCTCCTGCTCAGCAGCTCCTCCTCCTCAGTGAGGGCACTGCAGAGGGGAGGGGCAGGGTCAGCTCAGCCACCCCAGTCCTGCTGCCTCATCATTCACCATGCTCGCAGCCCAGGTGGAGCTGACCCTCGGCTACTCGCCAACCTCTATGTCTTTCCCTCACCAGTGGGACCTGCTGTGTGACGCTCCACGATCCCAGTCAGCCTCTAAGTCATCACACTGGCTTCTCCCTTGCCTGCATTGCTTCTTCCTCTGACCCTGGGACATTTCTAAGGAAACAGACCTGACTTTGAAGCCAAGTGCACCCAGGCTGGACACTCATCCCTGGGAGGGCTCAGGAGGAGGGAAGCAGAGGCTGCACCCTCAGGACTCTCAGACCCAAACCTGCTCTGCCCTCTGAGCTGTAAGACTTTGGACCCTGGATCCCATCTGAGCCTCTTCCTTTCATCCCAATGGTGGGTGCAGAGCCCCTCAGAGAGAGCCTGGACCTCATCCCATCCTGGTGAAGGAGGAGGATTCACCTTTGTTGCCAAAGAAATGTGATCTAAAGACAAAGAGCAGCTCATCGCCGTGGTCGGCCCTCACGTGGGGCGGCCTGAGGTCCTTTGTGAAGCTGGGTCGATGCTGGAACTCGTAGAAGTAGACAGGGGCGTGGGTACCTGGGGATGGACAGGGAGATGGGTGGCCCCTTCCCGGTGTTCTCCTACAATGCCCATGGGGATGACACATAATTGCTTCACCAGGCTGGGTCCTGGGCAGTTGGGGAGAGGTAGCAGGGGGAACAGGCACATTGGGCAAGCCCTGGGTTAGATCCTGGCGTTGGACTTCATGCCTTTGAGGTCTGGGTCAGTGAGTAAAGCTCACTCAGCCCAATCTGCTCCACTGTACCAGAGTGGAGATGTCGGTATCTGGAACAAGCCATGGGGGTTTACTGAGAGCAGGGACACCAAGTCCCCGGCACCCTGGGCCCCATTGAAGAATCGGATTGGGACCAGGACAGGACAGGCGTCACCCTCAGGAAAGGACCCAGCTCTGAGCTGCCCCTAGCGAGTGAGGCCTCAGTCCCAGATGAACTCACGCTGGAAATGTGCTACTCGGAGTGCAGGCACCACGAACATGGCGTCTGCCATCATCTCCTGGAACTGGGCCATGAGGGTCTTGGGGTCCTCATTGCTCCCCATGTACTCGTCCATCAACAGGTCCCCCAAAGCGGGAGGCAGCATCTGGCCCAGGGGAAGGGGAAGGAGTGAGGGGAGCAGCTCCTGGGAGGGAGGCAGCAGCCTCAGGCTGGGGGACGGAGGTCCTGTATAGTCAGAAACTGGGGGAAGAACCAGGCTCCGGGAGACCCCTCCCCAAACACACAGCTGAGCCTTGGTTCCCGGATTCCCTGTGTGGGCAGGTGTCTGGGATGCGCTCTGTTGTGGCAGGAGCCTGGGGGCCTCACCAGCTGTTCTGCTGCTTGATGCGTAATCTCCCGCATCGCCTGTCTGTCTCTCTCTTCTTGAGGGTCAATGGCAAGTAGGAGCTGATAGAGAGGCGAGAGTCCCATGTTGGCATGGCTGTGCCTAGAGTTTTGAAGCCCAGAAACCTGCCCACCACATGGGCAATGTGGGCACTCACCTTAGGGATGACCCAGCCATACTCATCATTGTTGACACCAATGATGCTGGGGACGGGTTGAAAGTCAGCCGAGGCCAGCAGCTCCTCAGGGTGTCTGGGCAGGAAGACTCCGTCCACCACCCCTCGGATTAGCATGAAGGCCTGTGGGTCACAGGGGGTAGGGAGGAAACTGTGTCCCAGGTGCTCTTTAAAGCCCTCTGCGTTCTCCATCCCCGATTGGCTCAGCCCAGCGTGTTCACCCTCACCCCCTAGGGGCCCCAGCCTGGCATCCAGGACTGGGTCCCCTGTTCCATCCAGGGCTGGGATGTCAGGAGGATTGGATGCGAGGAAGCTGTCCCGGGGACTATGAGGTGCACACAAGCCCATCACCCCCCCTCACCCATGTGCACGGGGCCCGACCTTGGTGATAGCCAGCATCTCCTCTTCACTCTTGGCCCGCAAGCAGCGCACCAGGGTCTCAGAGTCCACCTGGCCACAGCCAGACCGGTTGGCCACCACCTGTAACGGGACCACACAGGGGCTGGCACAGCCATGCTGGAGTCGTGGGGGTTTTCCAAGGCCCCACTGGAGGCAGCTGCACCCCAGATCACACAGGGTGTGGTGTGTGCACGGCTGCAGTGGAAGCTGATTGTTGCTCCTTCCCCATGACTTGGCACCGCCCAGCCGCAGTGGGCAGCACCTGCTGAGCTGGTTGCTGAAAACCTGGGGCTCAGGGCAGGCAGCTGGTGGAGCTGAGAACCACCTCTGCCTCTGCTGGGACACAGGTGTGTGGCTTCTAACCCTAGAGCCTCTCAGTAATGCAGTGGTAGGCAGCAGGGCCTGAGAACCCGATGGTCCTCCCTCCTTGTGCCCCTTGATCAGAGATGAAGTATAGGCAGGAGCAGCAGGCCTGGGCAGTGAGGACACTCACTGTGGAGACCACCTCAGATGACCTGGGGATGAGGGTGGGCAGCAGGGCCACCCCACTCTCCATGATGGCTCCGTGGAAGAGACCTTGGGACATGGGTGACAGCACATGGGAGGACACACTTGTGCCACCCGCAGACACGCCGAAAATGGTGACCCGGCCAGGGTTGCCTCCAAAGTGGGCGATATTCTGCTGGACCCAGCGCAGCGCGGCCACTTGGTCCAGGTAGCCCCAGTTGCCGGCGGCGTGCTGGTCTCCAGTGCTGAAAAGTGGCAGGGACAGGGATCACAGGGCTGTCCTGGTGCCACACTTCCCGCAGGGCCCACCACAGCCCCGGTCTCACCTGAAGAAGCCCAGGACTCCCAGGCGGTACTGAATATTGACCACCACCACGTCCTCAAATGCTGCCAGTGCAGTACTGTCGCACATGGAAGCCATGCCCACGGTCAGCCCACCACCGTGGATCCACACCATCACCTGTGGAAAGTCAAGGGCTTAACTCGTGGCTTCCTCCACCTAAAGAATGCTCATCCCCCACCTGGTCTAACCAGTACCTGGGGTCTGTGCAGAGCCAAGTACAACTCTGGCCAGAGTGCAGGATCTGGGCCATGAACCAGGGACCCAGGTATAATCAGGAAGGCTTGGCCAACCATCCTGAGTCTAACTCCATGTTCAAAGCCTGGTCTGTCAACTTCTGAGCCCCCGTAAGGTGGACAAATAACGGCTGTCTCTCTCATCCATCCACACGGATGCTCATCCTAGTGCCTTCCCTTCTTCAGGCCCCCACACCATCTGTGTCTGGGAGCTGTGGTGACGTCTGAGGGTAGCCAGGGGTCACTGAGTGTGCCTCCTGGGCAAGAGGATGCTGCAGGTGTCCCAGGTCCTTTTGAGGCCAATAGAGCCGGACCTCTAACAGCTCAGTCCCTGGGGCCCCGTGCCCAGGCCTCAGCTGCCCACGGTGGGGGAGCAGCACTTCTTGGCTCCCATAGTGAGAGGCTTCTGGACAGGGTGCACTCACAGGAGGGCCCGTGCTCAGCTTCTCCTTCCTCATCTTCTAGCAGAAGGCAATGCCCTCCCACCATGGCCAACTCTCTCTCTCCCTCTCCCCCTCCCCCCTCCCCTCTCCTCCTTACTCTCCCCCTCCCCCTCTCCCGTCTCCTCCTCCCTCCTCCTCCTCCCTCTCCCTTTCCCTCTCCCATTCTCCCTCTCCCACTCTCCTCTCCCTCCTCCTCTCCTCCTTCCCCATCCCAGTCTCCTCCACCTCCCTGTCTCCCCCAATCCCCCTTCCCCTCTCCCTCTCCCCCTCCCCAGCTCCCTCTCCCTCTCCCCCTCCCCCTCTCCCAATCTCCTACCCCTCCCCCTCCCCCTCCCCCAGCACCACACTCACAGGCAGGTCAGAGCCCTCACGGGCATGTGCAGGCGAGTAAATGTTGAGGTACAGGCAGTCCTCGGACATGGGGATTGAAGGCAGGGTGAGGTTCAGCTGCAGAACACTTTGACCCATAATAGCAAAATTCTGCAGACACCTGGAGCCACCCAAGGCAGCCATTAGTCTAGAGCCTGGGTCTAGTGTGCCCGACCCTCCCGGGCCTCCTCCTACAGCCCTGCTCACTCATGGGCCTCCCTAAGACACTTCCCACCAGGATCCAGGTCCTGGACTCTGGGTGAGCTGGGATGGTCCAACATCAGGGAACCTCAGGTGTCTGAGAGTCTGGGGACCACTCTTGACTGACAGGGGACTCTGGGAAGTCGTGACTGCAGAAGGGACACTCAGTGCTGGATGCCCAGACCCAGCCACGCCGGAGCAGGCCAGCCTCCCGCACACGAGCCTGGATGGACGGATGGCGTTTCCCCAGGAAGGGCAGTGGACGACCCTCACCTTCACTCTAGACTCAGGAACCTCCCCGTTCCCACAGTCTCCAGTCCTAAGGACATACACGTGTCCCTGGCCAATGTCCTTGCCCTGTCGTTGGCTCAGTGACCATGACGACCCCCTCTGGTGCCCATCTCAGGGAGCTGCAGGATCTGCTGATGGAGTCAGGGCCTCCTACAAGCATGTGGAGCCAGGTGAACCTCACTCAGACACAGCGCCCCCTGCAGGCAGAGAGCCTGTGGCCTCTCCTGGACACGGGGAGAGCATCTCTGCTTTTCTCTTTGTACCTGGATTTAATGTGCTCTCAGTGCCAAGTTCTGGCTCCAAAGCATTTCATGGTCACTGAACCAGAAGCCTAAGCAGACTCACTGAATAACGCACCAGGGAGCCATCATCCACTGGGAAAGCTGGTTATGCGAGCTCTGTCCCAGGACAGCTGGCCTGGCCCAGAACTCAGAGGATCTTTCCCCTGACCTCCCCCCAGGGCCGGAGCTTCCCTGTGCCCTGGGAGCGCTTACATGGCTGGGTGGGAGGTCCCGTCCCTCACTCCACTCCAAGCTTCAGCAGGTTCAGGAGGTGCAAACCGCAGCGGCCCCAGAGGTGGCTTGGCAAAGGGAATTCCCAGGAAGGTGTGGACGCCCGCATCGGTGCCTTCCACGTGGACCAGGCTCCCGCGCACTTGCCCCGTGTGCGTGTTCCGGATGGGGATGGCAGAGTCCTGGCCTGTGGCCAGAGAGGTACAGAGGGTGGGGGCTCCCCATGAGCTGCCCTTCCACACTGCTGCTGTGGCCTCTCCTTGGCATCGGCACCTCAGCCTTGCCAAGGCCTCAGACCTACAAACACTGACCTGACCAACGTCCTGCATGAGAAACTCTCCCCCATCTCCCAGCCAGCAGTGCTGTCCCTGCCCAGCCCAGGACATCCCACAGCTCCCGAGGCTCCTGGGACCTAGCACCCTCCCTGAGCACTAGGAGTCAGCGCAGGTGACAGCCCTGGGGGCGAGGAGAGCGTCCTTTCTGCTGACTGCCCTCGGTCCCAGGAGGTAGAGCTGTGAGCACCAGACTGACCAGGCTCCCCTGCTAGGAGGCTCATGCTCCAGGCCACAAGAAGGGAAGAAAGGAAGCGTCCTCTAGGGGGCGGTGTAGTGGCGCTCGGGTGCACCCACAGCCTGCATGGCCAGCATCCCCTACACAGTTCCATCCTGGCTGCTTCACCCCAGATCCAGCTCCCTGCTAATGGGTTGGGGACGTAATAGAATCCCCCAGCGCCTGGGCCCTGCACCCTCCTGGAGGCCCTGGATGGCTCCTGGTTTTGGACTGGCCCAGCCCTGGCTGTTATGCACACATGCGGAGGGAATCAGAGGATGGAAGATCTGTTTTCCCTTTCTGTCTGGAACTCAGCATTTCTGATAAATAAGAAATCTTAAAGACAATACAAAACATTTTTACATCATTGTCTTATATAAATCATTTTTTTTTAAAAACCAAAACAAAGCATGATCTGTAAAAGAGATGGCATTGGTTCTATGAATCCAGGAGGGAGGTGACTGTGCCCAGGACAGGACAAGCTCAACCTGACCTGGGGACCAGCGAGGGAGGAGGTGACGAAGTCACCGAATGGGGAAGCCATGGATAAGTAAAGAGTTTCTACCAATGAATCAGCAGGTGCCAGGCACACATCAGCAGGAAGCTGTAAGGATGTGCCCACAGACAAGGATCTCACACAAGTGATGAGGAAGCAAGTGGGACCTGACACCTCAGTGGATTTTGTTTGTAATTTTTATTCATTTATTGAAAGTAGACAGAGACACGCACAGAGAGACAGAGATGTCCTGGTGCTGGTTCCCTCTCCAAATGCCCACCACAGCTGGGACGGGTCCCTGATAGGCCAGGAGCCCTGACCACAATCGGGGTCTCCCAGTGGGAAGCAGGGATCAGTACTGGAGCCCCCCTGCTGCCTCTCAGCCTGCACGTTGGCAGGAAGCTGGAGTCAGGAGGTGCCGAGGCAGGACCCGAGCACAGGGCTCAGGGCTGGGGCGTCCAGCGGTGTCTCCACGGCTGCTCCCAATGCGGCCCCTCATGACCTATGTTGTGCCACGAATCAGAAATGAAAAAGACGAGATGTTCTATGGTGAGGACTCAGCACCACATGCTGGTCTTGCCAAAACTAGAAATAACAGATGCGGAACCATCACAGCTGAACCTGATGGAGCCTCTAGGTACAATTCCTGTGTACACAGGGTGAGGGGACAGAGGAACGGCCAGAAGGCACCACAGGGACGGGGCCTCCCCCTCCAGAGAGAGCCAGGGGTACATCGGTTTCTCAACACAGGAATCAGGAGGAAGAGCACAGCGAGGCAGAGGGGGAGCTGAAGCGTGAGGGAGACTCAGCAACACAGGGCAACCGCACAGGGGTGCAGAGCGCAGGCGCGGGGGTGGGGAGGGGACCTCTGTGCATCGCTGGGGTAGGGAAATGGGACACCTGCTCTGGGAACCCGAGGGGCAGTCCTGCAACACTTAACCTGGAGCTCCACCGCCCTGCAGGTCCCACCCTCGGTAGAAGCCCAAGGGAAGTGCCAACTGTTGGGCAGACACTTGGAGCAGCAGTAGCAAGGCCGCTGGGATGCTCCCCTCCTAACACAGCGGGCGTCTGAGGGAGACCGTGGAGGGGAGAGCTCTTTCTCACTCTGGCTCTCCCTCTCCCTGTGTCTCTGCCTTCAAACCAGCAGAAATCAATCATCCCCAGCCCATGAAAGCTGACTCATCCTCAGGAGGAATGTCACAGTAGGCTATGCCTGGCCACAAGGGGTGCTCTGGGCCCCGGGGTCAGGGAGAGGAGAGCCTGGCCCCGGAGCGGGTGAGTAAACAGCGCCTCTGTCCTGAGCTGGTCCCGACCTTGTCCTTGTCGTTCGCCCCAACCATGGAGGACAGCGCTGCCTTCAGCGGCAGTTCTGGCTGTGAGGCTGACAGTGAGCTGAGCTCAGCAGAGTCCATGGATGACAGGGGCGGCTTCCGTGCAGACGCTGCTGCGGTTCCTGCCCCGGACACGCACAGCGACTCCCAGGGACCTTGGAGAACAACTGCCCCCTCTCTGAGTGGGGACCCAGCCCCAGATATTACTTTATTAGGAACCACAGTGATGTGGGGAAGACGATCTGCCTGGAAGGTCCTGGTCGCCGGGAGAGTCTGTGCATTGCAGGGCAGGCGGGGAGCCTGTGGGTGAGCATGGAGGAGGAGGAGGGGGGCCTGTGCTGGGGATTAGATAGGGAGAGGGTGGGGTTAGAGACCTGGGCCTTTAGAATGAGTAGACAAAGAATCAAGGACACACGCCATGGGTAATACCCACATGGCCTGAGCTCAGGATAAAACAGATGCCAGGTTCTAGGGTGGGGTCACATTTGCCCTGGCACCTTTGCCCTGCAAACGTCCCTGGCAGGTGCACGGGGTCAGAGGAGACCCTGGCTTACAGATGGGCTTCTGGATTGGCATCAGGGGCTTTGCATTGTCAGGTCCAGTTACTACTACTGGCCACCTTCTGGGGGCAGGGAGCTTCTCTGCCAATTGTCATCAGCCCTGGAGACAAATGGTGCCAGGGCAGGCTCCTCACTGTCGGGGTCACTTGCTCCTGCAGCCTCGATCCCAGGGAACGTCCCCAGTTCCCATGGCGCTACCTGTCTCTGGGCTGCCGACCAAGAGGCGCTCTGCTCAGAGCCCATAAGTTGGGCTCAGTGCTCTGTGTCTGGAGCCTTGGGCAGCCCCGAGCCTCCCCAGCCTCAGGGGCTGTCACTGTCACTTCTGCCAGCTACAGCTGCCAGGTGTTGCTCTCCCGGGGCCGCAGGCTCTAACTGAGGGATTGGGCAGATGGGACCCGGGTTCCTGTCGCCCCCCGCAGGATCCTCACCGTGTGCCTGGATGAGAAGGAGCAGCAGGAGCCCGCAGGCCATGGCGCCTTTCCGCGTGCCCTGTTGGTGCGTCCCCATGGTCTGAAGCAGGTCTGCGTGTGTTGCACTGTGCCCAGAGGTTGCCTGGAGCGCTCTAGGGGTGGACCCTGGCCCAGGCCAGGACTTGCAGGGAATAGGCGGGGTGAGCCCTGGGGGTGGGGCTTGGGGGCCCTACAGGAGAGCAGGACTGAGAAGACAGGGCCTGGTGGGGTCTCCGGCGGGGCTGCCTCCCCTGGCTCCCAGCTCCTCCCCTGGCTCCCTGCTCCTCCCCTGGCCTCTGCCTCAGCTGGCTCCTGCCTCCCCTGGCTCCTGCCTCCCCTGGCTCCTGCCTCCCCCCTGGCTCCTGGCTCCTCTGGGTGTCCAATCCCTCTCCTCAGTCCTGGAGTCACCAAGTTTACTGTCCTCGCCGGCTGACTCCAGGATAGTGTAGGGATGGACAGCAAGCAGCACTGGGCTGTGACTGGACACCCTGGAGGCCTTCTCTGAGAATATGTTAAAAAAAAAATACTTATTTATTTAAAAGGCAGAGTTCCAGAGAGTCAAGGAGAGATAATGGAGTAATTTTTTTTAAGATTTGCTTACTTTTCTTGAAAGTCACAAATACACACAGAGAGAGGGGAAGTAGAGAGAGAGAGGGAGAAGTAGATAGGTCTTCCATCTGTTGGTTCACTCCCCCGATGGCTTCAATGGCCAGGCTGCACCCAAGGACCTGGGCCATCCTCCACTGCTTTCCCAGGCCACAGCAGAGAGCTGGATCAGAAGTGGGGCAGCCGGGTCTTGAACTGTAGCCCACCGTGGATACTGGCACCGCAGGCAGCGACCTTACCCACTGTGCCACAGCTCTGGCCCCAAGGGAGAGATCTTGCATCATCTGGTTCACTCCCAAACTGCTGGGGCTGGACCAGGCCAAACAGGGGCAGGAGCTTCTTCTGGGTCTCCCAGGTGAGTGCAGAGACCCAAGCACGTGGGCCTTCTGCTGCTGCTTTCCTAGGCACATTCCCAGGGAGCTGGATCGGAAGTGAAGCCGCCAGGACTCAGCTCTGCCCTAGACGGGATGTAGGCACTGCAGATGGTGGCTTAACCTGCTGTGCCACACTGTCGGCCTCAGAGAACCCCTGACCCAAGGCTGGCAGGTGTCACTCTTCCTCAATTCTGGAAGCTCCCCCTTGGTTTCTGTGGGGAGCAACTGGGAGCAACTCGGACTAGACTAAGTTACTGGAATTAAGACTTATTCTATGCATCTGCTCTCCCACAATATGTCGCTGAGAAGGGAGAAACAGCTTCTACTCAGCTGCCTCCAGTTCAACCAATAAACTGTAGGACCTGCTCCTGATTGGAGGAGAGCAGCGTACTCGGCGTGTGGGTAGCAGAGTTGGGATTGGCGGAAGAGGACTATAAAGGAGGAGAGAGACAACATGCACCAGGAACATCTATCTGAAGGAACACCTGTGCAGCCCCCGAGAGAGCCAGCCAGCGGTTTGCCGCTCCCCCGCGGAAGTGGGGAAAGTGGCAGGGGGAACCGCCCTTCCACGGAGGTGGAAGGGACGGTAGCCAACCCGGGAAGAACCAGCAGCAAACCCGGGAAGGGCCGAGCAGACAAAAGAACAGCGCAGGGTCCTGTGTCGTTCCTCCACGAACAGGGGGAGCGACAGTTTCCAGGCTGGGTGCCCACTGGGTCCAGGCCCCTCCTCCATCCTTTCCCGACTCTGCCCATCCCCTCCCTGCTCACTCAGGGTCCAGGTTTTGAGAGGCAGTGACCATGGCACTAACTAAGGGCTGAACCCAATGTGTGCTGTGTCCTCAGCTTCTTCTGAGACACAGTTCTGTCCTCTCCTTGACAGTGAAAACCTGCTGGTCCTGATACCTGGCAACCAGGCAGGAAGAACAACGGGAATTCGGGAGCTGGAACTTTGCCAGGCCTGCATTGCAACTTTATCCCTTTGCTTGTCAATCTTTTTTTAATATTTACTTATTTATTTATTTATTTATTTTAAATCAGAGTTTCACTCAGAGAGGAGAGGTAGAGAGCGAGAGAGGTCTTCCATCCATTGGTTCATTCCCCATTGGCCACAATGGCCGGAGCTGCGCTATCCGAAGCCTGTAGCCAGGAGCTTCTTTTCAGTCTCCCACATGGCTGCAGGAGCCCAAGGGCCATCTTCTACTGCTATCCTAGGCCGTAGCAGAGAGCTTGATCAGAGGTGGAACAGCCGGGTCTCGAACTGGTGCCTATTATGGATGCCGGCACTACAGTCCAGGGCATTAACCCACTGAACCACAGTGCTAGCCCCTGCTTGTCATCTTTTACACCAATTTCCCAGGGTGCACCTGTGTGTCAGCTGACCCAGGAAGGAGAAAGTGTGATGGAAACATGGAAGTGAAATTCTGGATGGAGGGGCCATAACAATCCCTTCAATATTCCCACAGGTGAGATCCCACCCCACTGGGTTATGCATTTAGGGCACCGCCCCCTGGGATGAGAAAGGGGAGGGCCCTCTCTGCCCCTGGCTGTGCTTGGGAATCCTCCTTGGGCTGCCTCTTCCTCTCTTCCTCCTGGCAACCCTGGCCCATTCCTGCTGAGGGTCTCTCCATGGGTGGCGGCCCTCAGTAGGCGTGCAGGTGTGGTCACGCTCTCTGTCCTTGAAATCAAAGCTGCTTTTGTGCACTGCCTGTTGCTGCTGCTGTGAATCCTCATCTCCATGGGGACAAGAACCTTAAGTAAAATGTAAGACCCAGGGCCCACACCATCCCCACCGGGCACCCAGCAGGGTACGTGTGGTCCTGCGACCGCAGTGTGGTGGGGGGCCTGGAGTCAGCCTGAGTGTAGGAAACATCAGGCTCCCTGCAGGAAGGAGGAGCAGCCTGGGCACGGGAGCCCCCAGGGGAAGTGGACCCTGGCTCATGAAGGCTGACTTTGTGGCTCCTGAGAACTGGCCTTGACCTCTGCTCAGCCCAGGGCTCTCTCAGCCACTATGGCCAGGGCTACCCAGGGCAAAGTCCAGAGGAAGAAACATTATCTGTGTACCCCACGTGGGTGGCAGGGGCCCAAGCCCTTGGGCCCTCCTCTGCTGCTTTCCCAGGTGCCTTAGCAGAGATCTGGATCAGGAGTGGAGCAGCTGGGACCTGAACTGTCCTCATATGAGATGCCAGCGACATGGGTAGAGGCTTAACCCCTGTGTAAAGCAACAGCCCTATACTCCAGGTTTACTGCATCAATGAATCATGGTATCCCAGGTGTGCAGGTAACCAGGTGTCTCTTGAGAGCTGAGGGTCTAAGAAAACGTGGCAGGTTCACTCAGGTGAATGTGACTCAGGCGTGAAAGGACTGGAACCCTTTATTTGTGCTGCATGGATGGGATTGAGGCACCACTCATGGCAGCTTGCAGGGACGAAGCCACGGTGACTCCTGGAGTCCTGGTCCTCTGTGGCCTCTAAGAGATGTGAGATCACAGGCATGCTGGGAGGAGGAGGAGGGGTCTTAAGGCACCCAGGGGTGGGCAACAATGCCCAGCGCAGCTCCCTCGACATTGGGAGGGAATGGGACTGGGAAGAGAGGAGAGGGAGGGTGTGGAGAAGGTGGAGGGGGCATGAAGCTGGAGGGGCCCAGGGTCCAGTGCGTGTTGAGGAAGCTGGATAGGCACTGGTGTTGGCAAATATGGCTCCATGGAGGGTGTCTGGGTGCATCTCACACGAGGGACCTAGGGCAGGCTTGGCAATGAACCTCATGCCCTGGGTTCTCCACAGTGGTCTGCTGAGTGGACAGAGGCCAGGTGAGTGAGTGGCCACATGAGACTGCAGAATAAATCTCTCCTTCGTGGGTATATATGAGCGCATCGGGGGCCCCCACCCCCACACAGGCAGCTACAGCTCCGTGTGCTTCTGCTCAGCGCCCCTTAGCTCCTGGACCCTCTGGGGAGGGTGTGGGTCCAGAACTGGAGCCTGCGGGCCTTCAGGGCCTGGCCCACTGCAGGCTGCACGTTCAGCTGCATGTATCGCTGGTCCTGGTCGAACACGGGCCAGTGCGGCAGGCCCTCGCTGTTGGGGTTCCTGCAGACAAGATGTCAGGAAGCGGATGAGAGCAGCTTGTGGCCCACCCCAAAGTCACTGGGAGATGGGAAGATGTGCCTGGTCCCCCTGTGAGTGCCAGTGGGTCCTGCAGCTGGGGAGGGCGCTGTCACATGACTTAGGTCCCTGGATGCTTGTGAGGCCCCCACACAGGAGGGAGGGCAGAGGGTCCCAGGTCCCTGGGATTTCTGGGGTCGTCTCACCCATTGCGAGCAAAGTTGGCCCAGTACTTCATCACCCTCCTGCTCAGCAGCTCCTCCTCCTCAGTGAGGGGTACTGCAGAGGGGAGGGGCAGGGTCAGCTCCAGCCACCCCAGTCCTGATGCCCCATCATGCACCTCGCTCCAGCCCAGGTGGAGCTGACCCTCGGCTACTCGCCAACCTGTTTGTCTTTCCTTCACCAGTGGAACCAGCCTTTGTCATTTTCACGTCCCCTGTCATCCCCTAAGTCATTCACATTGGCTTCTTCCTTGATTGGATGGTTGCTTCCCTCTGTCCCTGGGACATTTGTAAACAAACAGACCTGACTTTGAACCTGCTGTACACCCAGGCTGGACATTCATCTTTGGGCAGGCAGAGGAGGAGGGAGCAGAGGCTGCACCCTGCAGGTTCTCAGACCCAAACCTGGCCCTGCCATCTGAGCTGTAAGACTTTGGACCATGGATCCTATCTGAGCCTCCTGCTTTCATCCCAGTGGGCGTGCAGAGCCCCTCAGAGAGAGCCTGGACCTCATCCCATCCTGGTAATGGAGGAAGATTCACCTTTGCTGCCAAAGTAAAGGGATCTGAACACAAAGAGCAGCTCATCACCGTGGTCGGCCCTCACGTGGGGCGGCCTGAGGTCCTTTGTGAAGCTGGGTCGATGCTGGAACTCGTAGAAGTAGACAGGGGCGTGGGAACCTGGGGAGGAACAAGGAGATGTGTGACCATGGGGACCACATATCATTGCCACACTAGGCTGGGTCCTGGCAGTATAGCAGAATCCGGGGTGGAGCAGGTGCAGTGGGCATGGCCTGGATTAGATCTGGCCTTGGACTTCGTGGCTATGAGGTCTGGGCACAGTGAGTGGAGCTCACTCAGCTGTCTCCTCCCCCCTTCCATAGCCGAGATGTGCATCTCTGGAACTGTCATGGAGGGTTATTGAGAGGAGCAACACCAAATGCCCGGCACCCTGGGCCCCACTTCAGATATGGATTGGGATTTGGAAGGACAGGTGTCACCCTCAGGAAAGGACCCAGCTCTGAGCTGCCCCCTAGCGAGTGAGGCCTCAGTCCCAGATGAACTCACGCTGGAAATGTGCTACTCGGAGTGCAGGCATCACGAACATGGCATCTGCCATCATCTCCTGGAACTGGGCCCTGAGGGTCTTGGGGTCCTCATTGCTCCCCATGTACTCGCCCATCAACAGGTCCCCCAAAGCGGGAGGCAGCATCTGGCCCAGGGGAAGGGGAAGGAGTGAGGGGAGCAGCTCCTGGGAGGGAGGCAGCAGCCTCAGGCTGGGGGACGGAGGTACTGTATAGTCAGAAACTGGGGGAAGAACCAGGCTCCGGGAGACCCCTCCCCAACACACAGCAGAGCCTTGGTTCCCGGAGACCCTGTGTGGGCAGGTGTCTGGGATGTGCTCTGTTGTGGCAGGAGCCTGGGACCTCACCAAGTGTTCAGCTGCTTGATGCGTAATCTCCCGCATCGCCTGTCTGTCTCTCTCCTCTTGAGGGTCAGCGCAAGTAGGAGCTGATGGAAAGGCTAGAGCCCCAAGTTGGGCATGTCTGGTGCTGGAGGTTTGAAGCCCAGGAACTGCCCACCACATGGGCAATGTGGGCACTCACCTTGGGGAGGACCCAGCCATATTCATCATTGTTGAACCAATGATGCTGGGGACGGGTTGAAAGTCAGCCGAGGCCAGCAGCTCCTCGGGGTGTCTGGGCAGGAAGACTCCGTCCACCACCGCTGTGATGACCATGAAGGCCTGTGGGGTCACACGGGTCAGGGAGAAAGTGTTTGTTGTAGGTATTTTATGATGCTGCCTCTTGGTCCTTTCACTTGGATGTCATTTTAAGTGCCCTCCCTCCCCATGGGTTGCCTAAGCGTCCAAGGCTGACTTCCTGTGTGACCTCCAAGGTCAGCCCTCACCACACAGCAGAGTGAGTCTCCTGGGCATGAGGATGATGGCAGTGTCCTGGGGCCATCCAGGACCCACTCATTCTGACCTCTGACAGCAGCCAGGCCCCTGGGACCCCACTGCCCAGGATTGGGCAGATCCTACCCGGGTCCCTATCTCCACCCAGGGGAGCCTCACCATGGCCCGGGACAAGGAGGAGCAGCAGGAGCCCCTAGGCCAGGGCCTTGAGAATGCACCCAGTCGATGGGGCCCCATGGTCTGGGGCAGGTCCACGTGTGCGATGCTGGGGCCCTGAGGCTGCCCTTGGTGCTCTGCTAATGCACGTGGGAAAGCAGAAGAAGATGGCTCAAGTCCTTGGGCCCCTGCACCCACATGGAAGACCCAGAAGAGGATCCTGTTTCCTGGCTTCAGATTGGCCCAGATCTGGCCATGGCAGCCATCTGGGAAGAGAAGCCCCCCACCCACCCACCCAACTCTGCCTTTCAAATAAATGAATAAAGCTTAAAAAAAAAAGCAGATCTGGGACTCAAACCCAGGTGCTCCAATATATCATTGTAGGTGTCCCACATGGCATCTTAACGGCTAGGCCAAGGCTCCCTCTGTCGGTGGCACTTCTTAAGGTCTATCCCCCTGATCACTTGTGACTTTCCATGTCCCCAGCTCCCCCCAGAGAGGTGTGTTCTGCACATTTCATAGGAACCTGTGGATCTGAACCCAGCGAGGCACTCCCGAGCCCCTGGAGAGGCACGCACTTGAGTGGCAGCTTCCAAAGCCTGTGTCCCTTCAGGCTACAGGGAAGCCAGCGTGGCACAGGATCCAGCCTCAGTCCTGGGAGAAATAGTGTCGGGACCAGCCTCGAGTGGCCTTTGGTACCCGCAGAGAACCAGCCATGGCTTCTGAGTGCCGCCCCTGCAATTGCGGTCACAGGAATCCATCAACAGAGTGAAGAAACACCAGCAGAAGGGGAGGAAACAGTTTCAAATTATTTATCTGACAAGGGATTGATGTCCAGAATATATAAGGAACTCAAACATTTGCCTTTTAGAAAGGAAAATGGTCTGAATGTGTAAGTTTCCTAAAGATGCTACACAAAATCTAAAAACTCTGAAAGCAGCTAACATCACTGGTTATCAAGGAAATACAAGTGAAAACCACAACGAGAAACCATCTCACCCTGCTTAGAAGGGCTACCATCAAAAGGACAAAAATGATAAATGCTGGTGACGACGAGGAG